GCATCTTTCCAGCTAATACATCTACTTATGAAGTCAAACCTGAATCAAGCTAGTCAAGCCTGAAATGAGGACAGTATTAGCTTATTCGTTGGTAAGAACGTGTCAGATGTTCCGATCTGAACACCGGCATGTTTTCGTCTGCTGTCGTGTCTTAGGTTTCAGCTCCGTTCTTATTTCCAGATCTACATCTGTTGGAAAAGTACAGGTGGACACGGTCCAAAAACCTCAAACTAAACTTGGGGAAAATGCCTTTTTTTTAACGCCTTGCTCATTTTAATTGGAAAATTCTGCACAGCGACCTGGAACTGACAGACCTGGTCTCACTGGACGGGTTTTTTTTAAAGAGATTCTGGATGACTTGGAGGCAGAAACATCTGGCTGCAGATGTTTTTGCTTAAACGCCTCTCCGTACTGACTGTTAATTATCAGAAACCCTGTGATTGCTTTCCTTTAATCAAATGTGTTTGTCTAATTAGTGGTGAGCCTCCGTCGTGTAAGGCACCTCAGCCTGTTTTTGTCCAGGACACTGTTGCAGAGGAGGTTTTTTAAAGTCAAAGTATATCGACCCTGTTCCCAAGAAGAAGAAATACAGTCAGTCCTACAATGTTTAATTAAGAGATTAATTTAATGTCATAACCAATAAACCACGGAATCATACAAAATGAATCCTCTTAGTTGTTATCATTCGGTCACAGAAGGTAATTAACATTGTGTTCGTTGTTTTGTTGGTGGAAAAACAGTGATGCAGCTGAAATGATGGAGAATTGTTTAAACACCAATAGAAATAGACGCTAGGGGATTAGCTTAGCTTAGCTTAGCTTAGCTCAACTAAATCTTTGCTAGAGGATTAGCTTATCTTAGCTTAGCTTAGCTCAACTAAATCTTGGTAGTATCGTCTCCTACAACTTAACCCAAATAGTTAGCTAGTCTATCAGAGCTAAGGCTCACACCTGCTGCTAGTTGAGGGTCCAAATAACCACATTTGTACCATTTTTTTGGACATGTCGTCACAGGAGATGTGGTAAACACGGTCTTTCTTTCATTTAACCAATTCAAAGAGGCTGGAGAACCACACCTGACAGACCGCAGGTGTAGCCTTTTATTTGAGATTGGATTATAGATGTGGATCTCTTGCGTCAGTTGTTTGTGTTTCCAAACAGCGTGTAATTCTAGAGTTTTGTCACAATCCTGCTGTACAGAGTGTGGAGAAGATTTTATATATATATGTATATATATATGTATATAAATACATTTGAATTGTGGACGAGGCGTATATATGTCAAACTTTAAGGTCTGCAGATCGAATCCTGTTATTCACTTTTCAGAAACAACTTTTCCTTCCACCTTCTTCCACTTCACCTACACGAGTCACATCCTGAACGTTGCCTCCAGCCTTAAACGTTAACCCAAGTAGTAAATCATTTAATGCAGTACCTCTAAATGTATAGACTACAGGGCAGAAGTGCAACTTCGTATACCAAATACTGCAGTACATGAACCGGCTGAAGTTGCTGGAGAACAGTGAACATGATTAATAATTGTGTAACAAGCTGTTCCTCCGTGGACACACGTTTTCATGCATATTCAGTGTTAACAGTAGATAAAGACGGTTCATAACATCTGCCGGGCTCTGAGTGAGTGTTGCACTGCCAATCCCATCATAGTCCCCCCTCTGGGGGCATCTTTCCAGCTAATACATCTACTTATGAAGTCAAACCTGAATCAAGCTAGTCAAGCCTGAAATGAGGACACAGGTTAATGAGCGACAGTGAGTGGTGGAAATAGACCTGGCAAAAAATAAAAAATAAAAATAGAAATTACCAACTAAAGGGAAAATTTTAATCATGGTACAAAACATGATACCGCATATGTTTCATGTATAGTTTTGCAATTTATATTCTTTCCAGCGTCAGTGTGTTTTGAATATATAAATAACTGAAATTTATTTTATTTTTTATTTTTTTCTTACAAAAAATAAGTTTGGAGATTTGATTGTTTTCATGTTTTGCGTTACAGAAATATAACATTAAATGTATATGTAATAAAATATAATGATCTTCGGATTTCAATTTACTCACAATTCACTTCATAAGTGGGAAACTGGGCTTGTTTAGTTGAACACAACACTGATATACTCACAGGAATTGAGGAAAAACACAAATTTCAACAGTGCCTTTTTTTGTTTGTTTGTTTGTTTTAGCCATCTGCTGCCACTCTTAATTCATTTGCCCCGCTGCTGTTCCCCCCTAGGGGGCTAAACTATTGGTTCAGCTCAAATAAGAGTCGGCTTCCTTCTGATGTACTGTACCAATAATCTAATAAAAATGTGTGACCACACGCTACAGTTCTTAGCATTTGCTGTTAATAAAGTGTTTTGCTCTGTTCGTTTTTTAGTTCAACTGATCAACAAGACTAAACAAAAACTTTGTTTATTGCCTTAAGGAATGTTCTCAGCATCGAGCTGCTTATCAGTAACACAAAATAAAACAGGCCTTGCTGAAAGAAAGTGAAAAAAAAAAACCCAGCTCAGCTAACAAATATGAGTTGTCCAAAGCAACACGGCTGCTACAGTAAATATATTTAGCTCCTTCTCAAGATGTCACGCATACATTTGGATTACAACTTCCTTCTGTACAAAGAGAGAAAAGAAGGAAAACAGTTGGCAACTCCGTGTGCTGCCTGGGCCAACTTTGTGTTTCACGTCTCAACGGGAAGAGAAAGAGAAAGTGACATTTTTTCTTTTTCTGCTTGGGAAAAAAAACATTGATAATTCAATGTTTGCAGACTAAATAATCTCTGACAGCTCGTAGGAAAAAAAAAACTTTTTTTACCTCGTCAGCCTCCTCGATATCTGCACGGTCCATCTGCTGCGTACTGTAATGACCTGGTGTTTGACATTTGTTATTTGTTTACTACAGTGTGAGGAGTCATTTATATTAGTGGCCGTTAAAGGGCAAGTGTAACTGTAAGACTGTAGAGCTCAGACATGGGCAAACTTTTTGACCCGTGGGCCACAATTGTCCTAAAATTGAACACGGGGAGGGGTCGGGTCAGGAGCAGATAGATGGAGTGTTCGTGTGTTTTCTACTCCATCTATTGGGGAAACGTGGATATTGCAGGGAAAGGGCCGAAGTGTTATGATCATATAAGTAAATTATATATTTTGAAAAAGTTTGGCGGGCCGCATACGGCCCCCGGGCCTTAGTTTGCCCATGTCTGGTAAAGCTGCAATTACTACACAATGTATTAATACATGTTTCTGCATTTGATTATGCAACTACTACACAATGTAGTAATACATGTTTCTGCATTTGATTATTATTTATTTAAGTTATTATTATTGTAAGTTGCTCTGTGTGATAATTAAAATTGTAATTGACCAAGTTAAGTAACTCAGCAGCATGGTTGTTATTATTGTAAGTTGCTCTGTGTAATAATTAAAATTTAACTGACCAAGTTAAGTAACTCAGCAGCATGGACTTTTTAAGCTCACGCGGGCCACGCACTATGACTTGGTGGGCCGCATTTGGCCCGCGAGCCTTGAGTTTGACACATGGTGTAGTGGATATCTGTTTATTTGATGTATTTACACAAAATAAAGAGCTAATAAGCTAGGCTAATGAGTGATTATCGTTCCCTTTCCTCCTTCAATTAATTTACATAAAGGCAGTGGGTTTTGTTGTGTGGAAACATAAAACAGATCCGTCCTGACTCACTGCATCTCATCTCCAGACGGCCGTGAGCACAGAGCCTCTGTCTTCCAGCATCTGGGACCAAAAATAGATCCTTTCTCTGTTGAACACAGAGGCACATGTTCCTGACGTGACCCCTGAATTCAGATATAGGTTTAAATGCCAAAACGCACGCACAGGCATGACGTTGCACCTGTAATGTACATCTATATTCATATATCTATGTTTTGTTTTGGGTTTTTTTTTTCTTGTTGTTGCAAAACCCTGCCAAAAATAACTGTTCCAAAATGCAGATTAGAGAAAATGTGAGTGCAGGAGTGCAGCACAACAGAAGCGCAGCTGTAATTATCTCCTATCTATCTGTGCAAAGTAATCTGCATATTAAGTACTGTTTTATTCATTATTGATCCAAGGATAAATGGAAAAGGAGTAGACCTGCGTCAGAACCGAGGAAAAATGATTGTCCTTAAAGGCAGGAACCCCTCAGTTTAAAAGACGTAGTACCAGACTGTAAACAGTCCCATGGTTCCTATCTGCCAGAACATGTGTCACGAGCAATTGGAAAAAAAAATGTTTCTCTTCAAAAAAAAAAAAAAAAAAAAGAATCAGTTAAACAAAGGGATGGCCAGCGCCCACACCTTGAATGAATTTGCATCATAAGCCTCTGCACTGCTCTTAAACTTCACCTGTGTGTTATATAAGGAAGTCAACATTGTTATTAATGATGGAATATCACGTGTGATCCAGAGCTAACGCTAAATGTGAATTAACTGACAGTAAAAACACATTCAATCGTCAATGTAATGCAAATCATATAAACATTCCACTTCATCAGAGGAGGGTTAAGTAAACCGTTCAACTACCCACCAACCCCCTGCACCCCCCCCACCCCCCATCACTGGGAATTGAGTGATTGAGTCAGTGGAGATTTGATCTGATGGTCAGAGTTTGGCCGTTTCTGCTCCATCACCACGTTTAACTACTGTAGTCCGTGGGTTTCTATGGCAACAGCACCCACTCATGTCTTCAGGATAGCGAGTAATGGAATGCAAGTGAACGAGAGCTGTTATGACAGTCGTACCTGAGCGTGTTGATTAAATTATAGTGGTTATCCCTGCTTTAATCAGTCAGTCGTCGTACATTACATGAGCAGCAAGGAAGGGGGGAGAAGGGGGGAGGAGCGGGGGAGGGAGGACTTTAAAAGTAAAGCAAGCATTACTTTTGACTGTAAAACTTTTATGTGTTTGTTTAAGATTTCTCCTCTTTTTTTTTTTTTCTTGTCTCCCTCTTCCTCTCCGTCGGTTTCAGGTGACTGAGGTCATGTGATGGCAGAGCTGGAAGGCATGAACCGTCAGAGCAGACCTTCATCTGCACGTTGAACTAACACAGGCTGAAGCTTTTCTAAAGCTCGCACCTACGCAGGTATAACCTCATTTTAGTTATGTTTAATTTCAGCCCAAATTCTAATTCTCATTAGTGTGACGAATATGACGAATATATAAAGGATTTGAACAAACATTTTCTATAAAGACATTTTGATAGGCTGAATTGAGGCAGAATTTCTTTTAATATTCATTGTACTCATCCGTATATGTGGAACATGTAAAACAGCAACCCCTAGTGTTCAAAACTTTAAATTGCCGGAAAGACACGGTCAGCGAACTACAATTATAGCCTTTGTGCTAACATATAAACGTGCACATACACATTAAAGTATTTTACTACCGCAAGTCTGGTTGTTTTTTATTCATTTATTTATTTATGCACACAATAGAATATTCATGTCTACTTCCACTAGGTGGAGCCAGACCTTGTGAATGTGAGGTTGATGTTTTTTATTGTGAATTTTTTTTGTTCTTATCATTTAATGTATTATGTAAACATACCTCAATTAATGGAATGGATGTTAATACTTTACTAATTTCTTTCCCTCAAACCATTTTTATATCTCCAACTCTCTCTCTCTCTCTCGCTCTCTCTCTCTCTCTCTGCAGAATGGATTTCTCCAACACCACTGAAGGGCTGTTTTCTACCAGCACCAGTGTTTATGACCCACTGGAGACCAATAAAGCTCCGCCCAGTAAGACTCTCCTCACCCTGACCCTGTCGGTGCTGGCCATCCTAACCACCTTCTTCAACTGTCTGGTGATCACAGCTATCGCAGTGACCCGCAAGTTGCACCACCCGGCCAACTACCTCATCTGCTCATTAGCAGTGACTGACCTGCTGGTGGCGGTACTGGTCATGCCCTTCAGTATCATCTACATTCAGAAGGAGAGGTGGGTCATGGGCCATGTGGTGTGCACCATCTGGTTGAGTGTGGACATCACCTGTTGCACGTGCTCCATTCTGCACCTCGCCACCATCGCCATCGACCGTTACAGAGCCATCACCGACGCGGTGGAGTACTCCCGTAAACGCACAGGTGCCAGAGCTGGTGTGATGATCGCGGTGGTGTGGCTGCTCTCTATCCTCATCTCACTTCCGCCGCTGCTGTGGCGATACTACAGCGGCGATGCAGACCTTGAGGACCAGTGTATCATCATCCACCATCACCTGGGCTTCACCTTGTACGCCACCTTGGGGGCATTTTACATCCCCTTACTCCTAATCCTCATCCTCTACTACAAGATTTACCGAGCCGCTCAGACCCTGTACATGCGCAGGGAGGCCAGCAGGGCCAGTCGCCACTCGTGCATGACCAACGGGAGCATGATCCCCTCCACCTATCCCGCCGGGGACGGGAATGTCGACGGAGGGTTGCCAAGTCCGGAGCCCATTAGCCCGCCAGAGAAGTCCACCTCCGAACCGTCGACCGAGGAACCGCCACGCGAACGGGTGCGTGTCTCAGTCAGGGCTTTCCAGTACAAGTCGCGGCGGCACGAGTCGCAGAGCGAGTCACGTCGCAGCCAGTTTTACCAAGGACCACGCATCTCCGGGTCGCGGGAGCGCCGAGCGGCGTCCACCTTGGGGTTGATCATAGGGGCTTTTGTCATCTGTTGGCTGCCGTTCTTTGTCAAGGAGGTGATTGTCAACACATGCAGTTCGTGCAATACTTCGATGGAGATGGCTGACTTTCTGACGTGGCTGGGCTATCTCAACTCACTCATAAACCCCCTCATCTACACCATCTTTAATGAAGACTTCAAAAAAGCTTTCCAAAGACTCGTCCGGTGCAGTCATTACCTCTGATGGTGACAGTTGTATTTATGTTACGGTGCCCAGGTAAAACCCTGATGTACACCCATAATAGGGAAGGTACAAATGCATAAATAGCTGGTGGTCAAGGGATGGTGACTTCAGTGTTCCTGGGAGGGAAATATCTCGGTGAGAAACGCACCGACTGGGATTTTCACACACCCCACCAGGTATTTCGGCCGTCTAAATGGCACGAGAACAGAAATGAGCTTTTGCGCTAATGTTCCCCATCTGAAGTCCAAGTCTGGCTATTAATAGAAGAGCCTGGGAGCACATTGGTGTTAATTGGTGTGCAGGTTTGAAGAGCCACAGTCGTGGAGGGATTTTTGTGAAAATGTGCCATTATTTACCTTTTTGTGGGCTGGGGTCAGATCGACCTCATTTAAAGGTCTTGAGATCGCTGACCGTCGTGTCTGTTTCTGCTAACGTCCTCCCCTTCTCTCCTTCACTCACAGCTGCTGGCCCAACATGTGTGAAATACCACAGCTTTACGTTGTTACTTTCTGCGGTCATCATTAGGTCATGTGGGTGGATCGTGTGACCTTTACCTGACTCCAGGTCACGGAGATACGAATAACAGAGTTATAAACTATTGGATGGTGTGTTCTTTAAAAAAAACATTTGTTTGACATTATATCGTAAGTCATTTCTTGCGTCACATTTTTTTTAGTTTTAAAAAAACAGTCCAACCAATGCTATATATAAGTGAATATATTTTCATCAACATTTGTTTGACATTATATCGTTAGTCATTTCTTGCGTCACATTTTTTTTAACATAAACATATGGAAGATTTAGTGGTTAAAATATAAGAATACCTTCAAGAGTGAAAGACATGCTTTAAAATCGGAAGTATAAATAAGACAAACAAACTCCATTTTAGGAAAATATGGTGTAGTTTTTGGATTGCAATAAAAAACAACAACAAAATCTTCAGTTTGATGATGCACTTGAACATTTTTATTTCTTTATACTCACCCATTTATACTTTTACAACCTGCACGTTTAACTTTTTAAAATGATAGTTGCGGTTTTTGCACAGTCAGTACAGAGACCAGTTTATGACTGGGTCTCGGCTCCCTTTCCAGTAATGAAATTTTAAATAATTAATGAACCAATGACTCGTATTTTTACAGCTTTAAGGCTCGTTTTTTTTTCCCCCCCCTTCATTCTTGCTTCTTGAAACACCGGAGACACTCAACGGCCTTTAGTCACTGATATCTAATTTGCCTCGTCATGATGTGCCAGGTACTTTTGACAGGAGACAGATCTGGACCAAGAAGCCAACAGGGGGCATCCTGTCTAAAAATAATCCATTGAGTTCCCATTGAGAAAAGACAGTAATATATGTCTGTCTTCAACAGCAACCGCAGGTTAATACATATAGTACGTAATATACCTAATAAAATTAGGAATTCAATGGGAATAACAGATTCAACAAGCTCAGATTTTGTTTTAAATTCCAGACATGTACTATCTTTTTCCCAATATGTGGGTCGTTTAAATAAATAAATAAAAATAAAATTCAATATATTTATATATACTGTATATATACATATATACAGTATAATATATACATACAAATGCAATACAAGTACAATACGAATACAAATATATACAAAATGTATAAGGGTTACCAGGTTATATGAAATCAATATTATTTATTTAAAGTTAAATATTTGTTTCAGAATTATTTCAAACCTGATCATCATCGTTTCACCGTTGCCAGCTTTCGGTTAATGATTGTGAAAACCAATGTTGGAGAAATCCTCACATCATTACTCCCACTCAGCTTCCAAGAATAGAATCACTATTTCTTTACTGCCTTCAAGAGAGCATGTGATGTATTGATGGGGAAATTGCGGATGAGTCAAGTGAGAAGGAGTACTGTATGCACAGTGTGTCATGTTACATACTTTTTCTAGTACAAGTATGGCCAGTATTTGTACAATGTTTCTCTCTTTGTCTTTGTCTTATCGCCAGTAATAAGTTAAGTCAACAGCCAAACGATGTCCTCAGTTGTCTGTGTCAATACAACCATACTGAGTCCGACGTACAGTAAGCCCAGTACACTCTGAGTAGTCACCTATAAGCAATAACCATCTGCGTGTGCGCGTGTGGATGTAGCTTGGCTCGTTAGTACCATCTTGTGGGTAGAAGATGTATTACAGAACGGTTGCTAGAGTAAAATGAATCACATCTCACAGATAAAACAGGAGGCATAGGTACTGTTTGAATTGAACAACTTTTAGTTTTACTAATTTAGTGTGACTTCCTTGCCTTGAAGTATGCGACTCCATTTTGAAATTAGGACTAATATTAAGTCTCTAGAAATAACCTTAAGTTGACACATTTCAGACAATTTTGGGTACAGGTCATTCAGAAATATTTTTGTTAGTCATGCTGTTACGTTTTAATTGCTCTGGTGTCTTTCTAACCTAAAGACTGTTTGCGTTGTTGCCAGATCGTTTTGAATATATTTTACTGCGTTGAAACGGGGGATGTCATCGCACAAACCTGGCAACGTTGACTATGCGCTGGATAAAGCAGCCAGTATGGCGGACAGCGAGAGCGATTTGGAAACAGACGGGCTTGAATTAGCCCTGGATACGTTGTGTAGCAGACATTGCAGTGACGAATCTTCGCTTAAGAGCAAGGAATACTGCTCAGAGTTCTGTGAGGTGTGTTTAATTTCATTTTTATACATTTTTACCTAATCGGCGTTTGTTTATAGCTAACGCTTTTAGCTTCAAAGGCTAACATTAGCGTCTCCAGACTAGCTTGAAATTGGGCAGCAAACAGTGTCTTACAGCTCGTTTGTCACACAGCAGCCATGGCTAACAGAGTGTGCATGATTTCAATAAGGATTTCCATTAGGCTGGTAATTAAGTTTGTTTTAGCGACAATACCGTTTGAAATTAGGTATTGGTAGTTAGCCAGACCGCTAAGCTAAGCTACGAAAATATAGTGACTGTGACAGTTCCCTTTTTCATTACTTTGGTCTGTTGTTGTTTTTATTGTTTTGTTTTTGTGTTGATTTCTTTTTGCAGAAACATAACGTCGATATGAAATCATAGCGGAAAACATTCATAAAGTCGATATGAAATCATAGCGGAAAACATAAAGTATATAATTACTGAGTCTTTTAGCTATAGGTTAACGTGACAGTAATGGTAATCTATTGAGAAGATTGTCTCTTCAAAGCTTTGTGTACATTATTTTATGGTTAGCTCAGGTGTGGTAAGACCTGCGTTTCTTATGAAGACATTTAGGATTTAAAAGTGTCTGCCGCCATTGGGCATAATGACAGGGCAAAACCTCCCACAAAACCAAAACAAAATTAGCAACAATAGAGACTGGAGCTGTCAAGAAAAGAGACTATATGTTTTCTAGGAATATATATATATTTATATAAGACAATGTATAACCCTTTTATATAAATATTCAGGGAATTGTCTACAAAATAAATTCTAAATATACTGTGTTTCTTACATTACATTAATAATGTAATTAGTTGATTTTGCTTTGAACTCAAATAAACATTTTTGCTCTTTTTATGGCACAGCTGGTCGAGGAATACACAGGACAATGGCAGGTTCCTCTCCCTCAGCTGAAGGTGCTGCGTACAGCGCTAAACAGTTTCACCAAAGCCACTGCTCCCTTCCCTGATGACTGTCAGCATATTCATTACGTTCTCAGCAGTCTGGCTTTGTAAGTATGAAACTTGCCTTTACACAGTGATTATTGTACGTAGCAAAATGTGGTGCTGTGTATTTGTGTGAGACGTGAGACCACACAGTCTCAGATGGGTTTTTTGTGATTCTTTCACAGGAGCTTCTTTGAATTACTGCTGTTTTTTGGCAAAGAAGAATTTGTGGAAGACCCTTTAAAGGACATCATTGATTGCTTTCAGGTGACAAAACTGACCAACGGTCACATTTCATTAAATTTAATTGGAGTTGACCATCAACTCCTAATTCTGTCTCTCAAGGCACTGTGATGAATTTATACATTTTTTTAATGTATTATTTTTGATTCTTCTCTGCGGAGTGTCACACTCAGCTCCTGAGGCACCGAAACAGCTATCTTCATCAAGTAAAGCACATCATCAAATCAGGAGGACCATGGGAGAATCCAGTACTGCAAAAAATCCTGAAGGAGGCAGACCTTCAACCAAATGAAGGTGAGTTTGTAACTTGTGATAACTCCAAAAGGATGTAATTACTGCACTCTATGAGAAGTGAACCCAAAGTCTAATGTATGAGCTTCCAAACCTATGTTTTCTGTGGTTATGTCATATATTGAATGTACCTACTTCTAAGTGCATTTAATATGATGGTAAAGAGACTCAAAAGAAAAAAAAATACAATGTACATTTGATGTAAAATAAACTAACCTTATTTTCATTATCAAAATCATTCCCCTCCCGTCTAGTGGAGGAATACTTGAGCTCACAGTTGCCTGTGTTTCTGGAGCTCCGGGTCCGTTACCTGCAGGCCTGTGAACGGCTGAAGGAGGCTATGGCTCTGTCGAAGAGCTGCCTTGAGAATCATGAAGCTGGGAAACACCTGTTCTTCCATCAGGCTTACCTGACCTGCCTCTACAAGGCCTCACTGCATGAACACCTTCACAAGGAGGTGAGTCAGAAAGGAAATTCATTCTGGAATTAAAAAAAAAAAATTGTTTAAATGGTGTGGTGTAGATTTTATTTGCCGTTAGCTGTAACTCTCTCCCGTCTCCCTCAGATGGCAGAGATCGATGGCCGGGATGCAGTGGAGATCATCTGTAACACGGAGCGAGTTGAAAAAGACGAAGTCCTGTTGTCACTCTGTAAAGCTTTTCTGACGCAGTACTTACACAACGGCGACATGTATTACATCTGGTGAGTTGGATATCCACACCTTTAAAACAAATGTGATTCAATTACTTTTTGCAACATTGTCTGTGTTGACATGTGTTTTTTAATTTTAATTTTTAGGAAACATTGCTTTTGTGTTATTGTTGTTTACTGGTGTGACGTGTCGACATGTGTGTTTTGTTTTTTTTAGGAATCATTGCATTTGTGTTATTGTTGTTTACTGGTGTGAAAACAGCAGTAAATGTCTCTGACTGTTTTTGTTGTTGTTTTTTTTAAAGGGACCTGCTCTTCATTTGGAGTCGACTGCATCTGAGGGCTCATCCATCCAGAGAAGGTTTCCTGGCTGAGTGCTTATCGCTGGCCTCCTCTGCCACCAATGTCAGAGCCATCTTCCCTTTCATCAAACTGGTCACCACCGAGGTGCGACAAGAACTGTACTTTACATGTCACAGCCATACCTCTAAAATTGGTATAGGTAATGGTAAGTGTAATCAACAGTTGTCGAAATGATTTTGTTTCACCACAATAAATCCAGGTCGGAGGTGAAGGGGTCGAGGTCTGCCTGGAGCTGTGTGCCAGAGCCCTGCAGTTGTGTGACGCCCAGGACGACTCCGAGACTCGCTCATTGGTCTGCAAAACCATCGCTTTCCTCCTGCCTCATGATCTGGAGATCTGTCGGGCGTCTGCTCTGCTGGCCTTCTGTCAGGAACGCAGCCTGGAGGCTTACCGAACGGTCTGCCTGCTGTATATGCATCCTGATGAGGAGCCCCATCCACACAACAGCACTGTTCGGACCAATGTTCGCTTTCATATCCTTCAGGTCGGCCAGGACTGAGAAATGTATAAATTTATAGCTTCACGTCAGAAGTGGTATGCATAAAAATACATTTTTACATTTTTGTTTTTTTTCTAGTTGTTGAAGGAGCGTCTGTGCTTCGACCCAGAGTTCTGGAACCTCCTGACACTAAGGACGTATTGCTTGGAGCTGCTCAACGACAACGTCATAAAGGCTGTAGTCTTAAGTGAGATGAAGGAGGAAGAAGAAAAGCAGTTGAATGAAGAGGTCTCAAAAAATAGTTCAGACGAGTCCTGCACCAGAGAAGCCAGTTTCCCCCAAAGCACTGAAGCCCCACCTGTGAGTCATGACCTCATCAAAGAGCAAGATGACAACTGCGCAGAAAAACATGTTTCCCCACCAAAGCGTGCTCTGTGGCCTGTGAAAAAAGTGAGGAAAAGGGGGAGACCGCGAAAACAGGTGCCCGTGTCTGATGATGAGGCGGAGAATGGTGACGATCCAGAGTACAAGTACACTCTGAAATCCACTTGTTTAGTCAACAAGCCTTTTTATTCACTAAGACGAAGTAAGGCTAACATGGACGTTTCTGGATCCACGAGGTCCACTCTGAACCAGAGCAGGGAGTACCTGTCCAGATGTGTGAAAAATCAAATCTTAAACAGGAAAGGTCGGAGAAGGCTGTGGTTGCCAGTTCTTCCCAAAGAGTGCATAGTGTTCATAGGAAAGAAGAGAGGAAGGAAGCCTTTCGCCCGACTGGAATACTTTTATCCTGATAATGAAATATTGCTTTCAGACGAGGGGCCTGGTTCAGAGGAGGTATCTGAAAGAGAAGTCGGGGAACCGGACTTTTCCGAAGAGAAGGAAAATAACATTTTGCAAACAACAGATCACGAAAATCAAAGTGAACATTGGGAAAATTCTGACTTGGTTCCTGTCAAAGATAATGAACATATCACAGACGAACCACTGGTTAGTGAAGCCCCTGCTCCTGCTGTTGAAGGTGACCCGGAGCTTGATGGACCACCTTTAAAGTTCCTGGAGTGTCCCGTAGAGAGCCTGCACTGTTATTGTCTTATCATTGAAAAGTCCAACAGTGACCACCAGGGGCCTGAGGAATCCTCAGTACCAGATGAGCTCAATGGTGACATCAAACCAGAACCATGTTCTCCAGAGGAAACTGGTGTCTCAAACGCTGAGGTAAGTTTTTTTTTTATTTTTATTTTTTTATTTAATTTTTGACTGATTTATTTCTAAATGCAATAGTTGTGAGTAGAAATAGATTGAGAAGATGAAAAACAGGTTTTATCAATTTTCTGCTTGGTGTTCTCACTCTTGTGTCCTGACAATTTCCTACAGAGCTGTGGTCATTGAATATTTACATCGAATATTAACCGTAGTTGTGGGGGAATGCACATCTCTAACAAAGGGAACTGTGAACGACTAACAATGTCTGGTATTGACTTATGTTTTCTGTCTTTTAACTGCAGCAGAAAACCAAGAGAACGTGGAAGGAAAAACTTCTTCGTACTCAACAGTTTTCACATATGAAGCATCACTGCAGTATCTGCGGCAAAGACTACAAAGGCCTGAATATTATGCGGCACGCAATATCGCACCTCAAGAGGCGCAGGTTAAAGTGTATACTGTGCGGAAAGCGCTTTAAACACGTTTCATTTGCCAAAAAGCACATTTTGGACCACTTTGACAAGATGTGCAAAGAAAAGGAGCCGTGTGTCGAGGAACCTCCAGCCGTCAATGGTTTAGTAGAAAACAAGGAACAACAGACTGAGACTCAGATTTCACAAGAGGAAGTTCAACGGAAAACTGCGACCAAAATTAGAGTTTCAGACCTCAGTAGGGAGCAGAGAATCATCCGCAACATCCGCACTCTCGTCAAGAAGACTGCGTTGCTACACAAAAAGTGCACGGACCCGGAGTCTGATTTCCAAGATGAACAGGTTGTCATTGAAGACGGCCAAGTCTTTATTAAAGTTCCCTCTGTGACTGAAAACAGCGAGGGAGGTGAACAGGGTAACAAAAACGCAGAGGGAGAGAATGGCGTCGATGTGGTCAGGGACACGTATTACTTATGTCCCTCAGAGTCCTGCGACCGCGTGTTTTTAAGGAGCAACAACACGCTCATCAGGCATGCCATCAAAAGCCACATTAATGAAGAGAGTGTGTTGGAAAAGACATTCGTTTGGGCCAACAAGAAGTGCAAACTCTGCTTCAGGTAAATGTACAGACCAAAAATATATATATAAAATAAAAATAAAAAATATAGATCATCAGGAAGTTCAGATTATAGTTTGGATTAGAGGTTTTGTGTGGTTGAGGCTCGAAACATTAGTCATAATATAAAAGAAAAGTGTTTGTGATTCTCCACAAACACAGCTCTGCTGTACAGTAACAGTACAGTAATTATACATGAACCCAAGTTAAAGCATTTGTTATTGTTACAGTCTATAATAATTCATCTGTCAACTACAAAAAGGAAAATATCTATTCTCTTGAATTATAGCTATTTCTTTGTTGCACTTGTTTGTTTTGTTTTTTTTGCTGCATATTCATCAGTTGTGTTTCCTTCCACCAGGCAGTTACAGTTTCTCCAGCATTACAAGGAGCACATGAAGTTCCACGACGATCCTCTCCAACACTTCTGTTACCACCTCGAATGTAACCAGCGCTTCGGCACACAACAGGAACTCAAGGACCACATCGCCACTCACAATCCGTTCCAGCCACAGTGTCGCTTCATGGGCTGTGAGAAGCTCTTCTCCAATCTCCAGAGCCTCTACGACCACGAATGGAGGCACTACAACCCTGCACCTCAGAGGGACGAGCTGGAGCACGGAGGTAGAAAGGAGGTACAAAATCCCGAAGCTCCGTGGAAGCAGAGGTTGAAAGTGGAGGAGCTGTGGTTGCAGGTGAAGAAGGACAAGAGGGACAGTCCAACCCCAGAGCACGCTGCGGCTTTACCTGTGGAGAAACTTGGGGGAGTGAGCAAAGGTCTCGAGGAGAGTTGTGAAGTCAGCGATGAAAACATGTCTGGGCCCTCAGAAAACGGCAAACCTCTGACAAATGGACACGAGAAAGAGTCAGAATTCCCTTCCGCTGATGACGTCAGTGCTACTGAGACCAGTCCGACGGCCAAGTGCCAGAACAAACCACTGTACGAGCCGGATCCTTTGAATGTCAAGGAAGCCATCAATATAGCCACGATGGTCGAGGGAGTCCAGCAGAAACTGGGAGAGCCGCACATCACCGAACACAAAACCTTCAAACCCGAAGACCCTGTCTACGCCACCTTCGTCAAAGCTCCCTTTGTCAGGCCTCCGCCCTGCACGTACCTGAACGAATCTGTTCTCTCGATGCGCAAGCGAAGACCGGCAGAAGAACAGCAGGTCGTACCCAGAAAAACTGTCAACTGGAACCATAGGAAAAAGAAGGATCTAGAGAAGCAGCAGGAGCCGGAGGACAAGACCCCTGAGCCGAAGGTCAGACATCGGTGCAGCAAATGTTTGTCTTCCTACGCCAGCCTGAAGGAACTGCAGCAGCACGAGGCCCTCAACACCTGCTCCTCACTCTTTGGCTTTGACTCGGATGATGAAAGTTAGTTGACTTGTCATTCTCTCATACCGAACTTTAAATCGTTAGTGTAAATATTTTTTAACTTCTTACACCACTTCATAATACAATCTTTAGGTTGCTAGTGCAGAAGGAGCAGGAAGACTTTTGATGTTTGTCCACTGGCTCAGGTTAAAAACCTTCACCTAAAGTTATCACTCTCTAACAGCATAAAGCTTCCTTCACACATTTGTGTTGTTTCTGATTTAGACCAAAGAAAGGCGGTATTATAGCGTAGCACTCCGAAGTCTGACCCCTACTGGACACAGGGGACAAAGTATCTAAACTTGTGAGAGATGTTGGTTTTTACTTTTCTTGCACAAAAACACATTTGTGTTGCCTAGCACTTAACGTAATAATATTGTGAGCACATTGAGACCAAAAGCAGGGTCTAAAACTGGCACTGAGTTCAGATGTGTGTTGAAACGGCAACGACTTAACAGTCAACCTTGTACTGACAGTCATCCTCACAGAGTTCACCTGTAAGATCCATCATGAGAGGTCGACTTAACAAAACTGCCTTTGTTTATCTTGGACCCTCATCATTAACCTTAAGAAAACAGTAATTTAAACCTTGTTTAAATTTTTTATTTATATTTAGACAGCTGTCCCAGAGCATCTATGACGTGGTCTGCGATCCCTTCGACAGCCAGTACTGTTGACTCACAGTACATGCCTGAGTCTTTAATTATCTTTAAATTAGGACTCAATGCAGGTTAAACCTGTTTGAGCCTCACAAACTTATTTTGTTTTATTTATTATTTATAAAATCAGGAAGCTTATTTTAATAACTTGTGTTCTTAACAGTATTAATGGTAGGGAAACAGTACAGGTGGAAATCTGTACAGGGGACAAATGTTAGTCTTCCAAATAAATCATTCATTCGATGAAAATGGATCATGGACATGATCAACAGTGATACAGTACCAATGATGTAATTCTGCCTCCATGACATTCACTGTTATTATTTCTTCCGAATGTTACCTGTGCCAAAATGAAAATGTCGTCACCAGTGGATACTTTGATCTTTAAAGTTCTGCATCGCAACAATTATGTATTTTATTGTTTAAAATATTTAACAATTGTCTAAGTATGTACAGATTTTCATAATGGTTGATCTGCCTGAAAATTTGTGGTTGTATTGTTTGAAAACTGTGCACTTAAATCTGATTATTTATATGTACATTTGTGAATAGTCTGGATTTGTAAAAGTTACATTTTCATATCTATTTTTCTTATTAAAAAATGTGAAAGAATCTGATTGAATGGAGAAATATTTTTTAAGTTTTTTTGTTTTCATACTTACATACCAAAAAAAATGTAAAGGCACCATACACAAGGTATTTCACAAAATTCCAGGGAGACGTCAAGTCGAGAATCGGTTCAGCCTTTATTGTATTCAGCATTGCATATTTATTAACTCTTTATTAACTCTATTGCTTTAATAACCCTCACAGCAGAGGTCAACAGTACGTTTATCAAAATTGCTTTTCAAAAAGGTTTTTGCATCACATTTTCTTGGTAAATGAGGTCATTTAGAAAAGAAATGCAAAAAAAAAACATTGTTAGAATTTGTTAATTTTTTTTTGCCATTCCTGACAACATGCATAAAACGAACAGGTGCAGAACAGGAGGTGTTCACAGTACAACATGCAGCAAGTATGACGCATTAACATGCTAACGGAAAGATGCAGCTAAAAGTCAAACGTGACATTTACAGGATTTTAGCTAAAAGCTGACAACATGCTGCGGAACAGGGAAGACTTCAATATTTTCTCACTTCATGTTATCATTTCACCTGAGATCAAGTCTGTTATAAGCATAAACAAACCAGTAATTTGTCGGCGTCACATACCGAAATGATGCATCAGGTGTTAAATATATTCCCACAAATGTTTTAAGGCTAGGTGAAATGTAATGAAATTAAAAAATAAAAAAGTAATAAAAATAAAAAGGCAGAAAAAGGTTCTGTGCACTGTATATCTGGTTAAATAGAAACCGTCTCGGCTACATTTGAGCGATAAAGTGGATTTCTTGCACACATGCTGGACAAACTTGATCAAATGAACAGTTAAGTATTTTCAGATTGTTAACATTTCAAAGTACAAAGCAGTTGTAAACACGAAAAGTGTGTTTCACACAAGAAAATATAGATATTAAATAATCACATTTGAATGTCTCCTGAACAGGAACATAGTGTGTGTTTTTAATGCTGCCTTTAAGTACCATCACAGTTAACATAAAGTCAATGTTTAAGTGTACAAAATGCATATATTTGATGTTAGGGATATAATTATATTAATTTTTTATTTTACTTTTTTTTATATAATTATCTAGGCTTTTTGTCCTCGCTGAGCTCATGTCTTGGAGAATTCGGATATTGAATAATAGTCTATACACTTTAAGATTATTATTTTTTTAGATTTAAATTTTACCCACAATTCCCACCTGGACTAGTCCGCACCAGTTGTGGAAACAGGTGCGCAGTTAGCTTGAACGAACCTGATTGGATGATGAGGGTTAAACACACGAATCTGCAAAAGTGCTAAAGGGACGGAAGTTGAACCAAACCCGGTCGCGGTTATTTTAACATGTTTGGAATATTCATCGGGTACACACGGGACTTAACATCTTTAATGTGGTTTTAGCTGAAGTTGCAGGTCAGCGTTAACAATAACAAAAGCCGTCAAATGTACTTAGTTTCCGTTTCACTCGTTAAGAAATTCTATTTGAATTGCACCTGAAGGCAGCATGGATTCTGGGACGAAGAACTGACAACATTCACTGGAAAATCGTAGTGTAAATAAAAGTTTCGTCGACTCACGTGTTTGGATATGTTAGTGTAAATAAAAGTCGACTTCGTGTGTCGATTTCGTCGACTCACGTGTTTGGATATGGCTTGTTGTTGTTTTGTTGAGAGGATTTTCTCTTCATTCCAAACAGGAGATGTGGAGTTGAACTTTGGGTCCTGAGTTGGTGACGTAGCAGTCAAGGATAACGCCTGAAATACGGTTAACTGACGTTTGGATTTTATACTGTATATATTTTAAAGCTAACGTAATGATTGGAACTGTCGTGATAATTTCAATATATTTAAATAAATATACATATTGATATATTAACTTCGACTTAAAGTCATTTAAATGGTTTATCGTTATATAAATCGTCATTAACCTGTTGCTGTTACTGAAGAGATAAATGAACCGCTGTTATATATATATATATATAAATTACTTCTTAACATGGCTGTTACGGGGATTACAGTAAACCGGCTCAGAATATGAACAAGAGCCAATCTGGTTTGTTTCAGTAGTAAAGTGTAAACACATCCTACTTCTTTGGATTTACATTTTTTTTTTTTTTTTACATAATAAATATTTGCACTGTAGTTAATGAACCAACCACTGTTGACTGATGGAGCTGTTGTAGCCAGTGAAAAAGTTCAAAAGGACATAAGATAGAACAGTGGACCCAAAACTATGGTGCGCGTACCACTGGTGGTACCTATGCTCGGTATTTTGCCATTTGGGGGAATCCAATCTTGTTAAGACATTTTACAGTTCCCTGCTGAGGGAAAAGCTACTTTGAGGCTAAGGATTTAATATGAAGTTAGGATTACAATTAAGGTCAGATTAGAGTAGTGTATGGATTAAGACTATGTGATTGGCTAAGGAATGTGTCTTTATAGTGCTCACAAAATGGCAAAAACATGTTTGTGTGTTTTTAAAAATTAAATGAAAGGTGTAGCGCTGCCTGATTGCACGGTACTTGGAGAGACTAACGTTTTCGGAGGTGGTGCATGGTGTTTGAGAACAACTGGTGTAGAAAAAGAGCAGCTGCGTTGTTTTTTTTCCAAAGTTTCATCTCAGTGGGCGCCATTAGAACTCCAGTCGTAGGGCAGGAAGGTGACTTTGGTTTTCCCAGCAGACAGAACCCCCTGCAGGCTGGTCTTCTTCGGTGAGTCACTCATGTGCTCCAGCACCCATTTTAGCAGCTACAAACAAGAGGAGAAAAAATATAAAGAGTATGAACTCAACAACTGGGTCGGATGTAGAATCTTTGTTTGGTGGAACTTGCAATGAACCCCGGTAAGTTTATGTTTAAATATTTTTGTGTCATTGAAAAAAGAGATTATTATGGTCTGCATTTAGAGTTCAGGTAGGTGGTGCTAAACCTACACTTTCGTCAGTGCCTCCAAAGTCAGCCTTGTACCACTTAAATATTTGACTGAGTTTCACTTCCCCGTTCCCAGAATCCACCACACAGCCGTCATCGTTCTCCAGGAAAGCCTGGGCTGCTGTGCGAAGCTGGCTGTCGATGTCCTGAGACGGATTAAAGGATCACACGTGACCTCACGGGTTCAGAATCTCAGAACACACAGTATAAAACAGTGAGGTGATGATGAGGTGCACTGACCTGTGGTGTGTATGTTTTAATAGGTGGGCAGCCCTTCGCTCCACAGTTTAAGGCAAAGTGAATGAGGGGCTCAGGCTGAGGGAGTGCCATCTGGTGGACAACAAAGGTAGTGAAATTTAGTGTTTTTCCTAAAAACGAATTGTCATAAATGGAAAAAAAATGTAAACAATCTTGCATACCTGTAGCCGTGGGTCTGACTTGGAGAAGGGCTTTCGAAGCTGCGCGATACCTTTTTTGTTCCCCCTCAATACGCCGTTCTCAATGTCCTGCAATGTGAACACTTCTCCACCAATCAGGTAGCTGACATAGTTGAAGAACTACAGAAGGACAAAGAGACATTTATTTAAGGTTATCCTTTCTAATGAACTACAATTATACAACTATATATATATATTTATATGTATATATAGCGCTCTTACTCTGTATCTTTGCCACATGTTGGTGGGGGCCCCCAGGCGCAGGGCCCCGTGGATGACCAGAGCGTTGTAGATGTTGATGAAGAAGGCCAGTTTCTCCTCCCGGCTCAGTGAAAGTAGCTCCACCCTCTGGAGCTGAATGGCTAAATCACAGTAGCGCTCGAACACTGGGTCTGAGGACATGCCCTTGTAGTCCACTGACTGTGGGCCACATACATAAGGCACACACTGTACTGTACACTCATACGTGTATTGCGATACCACACGTATCGCAATACACGGGCAACGATACGATGTGTTGTTATATACTGCTATTTTTGTTTTCTCCCAACACCTAAATTCATGCATAAACATATAACATTGCACATGTGAAAACATGCAGTGTGTTTAAAACTCATCCACAGTCAGTGGTACTATTTATTACCTTGCCATCAGCAGAGAGGTGATCAGAGAAGAGTTTCAGAATCATCTCCCGCAAAAGAAGAGAAACTTCAGCGGCTGAGAGGGAGACGAGCAGAGAGTCAGTGATTCACGCCGTACAGATGAGATCAACGTTAGGAAACAAACCAACAAACCCCTGTGACGTAATGAGGTGTTAGCCATGACAAAGTGAGCACACCCAGAACAAATGTGGTTGGAACAACAGCACAGTGAAGCTTGTTAGTCACACTGACGGCACACACAAATACAGACAGGCCATTTACAGCACCTCACCACCATCACCACAAGGAGTTGAAAGCAAATTTAAAAATAAAAAGTAAAAACACAAAGAAAGATGGAATCACAGCTGCAGCAAAAAAACAAAACAAAACCCACAAAATTGCTGACTTGAGATTTTCTTATATTCGTGTTAAAGTTTAAAATCTAAGCAAATACTATAACATGAAAATGGAAATTATGACTCAATGAAGGCATTTCCAAAATGGAAATTATGACTCAATGAAGGCACACAATTATGTTTGTGAAAATTACCTCATGACACCACTTTATTCCATGTTGTTTTGATGTTAGCATGCTAAAGCTAAACACTCAAACACGGCCCAAAATGTGACAAAATAGCATCTGAAAAGCAGCAGGTTAGATGCAGGTAGAAACTGCTTTCTGATATGGGGGGAAGAGGGGAGGTAATGATTGATGGATATTAATGAAATTAACTAATTAAAGCCGAACTTTATGTAACAAGTCACTCACTTTTGACACTGAAAATGTCCATTACCTACTGCTCCAGTCACACTCTACACACACATCTCCACATCTAATCATGTCACTCATATATTTATATACAGACACTCCCTGAATTGACAGCTGACACTGATGACACCTGTGGTTCCATACAGATGGCTGGAGCAGCTAATGGAATATTAATAAATCCATCTGTGATTAAGCCATGTTACAGCTCTTGGTACCACAACACTGACGGTTACGTTACAAAAAGCCCAAGCAAGCTCAAAAGCCGGCAGCCAAAAGAGACAGTAGTTAGACCAGAAGAAGCTTGAGAAGACCCGGTCCAGTCCTGACCTACCCTGCATCAGGGCACAGCCCGCAGTCTGTCCCGCATTCAGGGCTGAATGAGGGTCATCCTCCAGCAGCCTGTAAAGTGTGTCCAAGGAGTTTTTTCCTCCTCCAAAACTCCCATCCTGCCGCTCACTGTCATGGACACTGACCATGTACTTCTTCTGCAACAATGCCTGTCCAGTGGTACAGGCCTCGGCCTTGGCTACCACACACACGGCCACAGTGAGTAGAGCACATCTTTTAATCAGTTACATTCAGGGCTCTCGGTTCTTACTTACCCATGCCCTTCTCTTTCTGCAGCCATTCAACCAGCTGACTGCCTGAGAAGCTCTTTTTATACAAAACCAGCCCCTTCCTTTGACAGCCAATCACATTACCGTCTTTGAGGTCCTGCACCAGGTCGGCCAATTCATCTCTTTCACACATGAACTCTACGGGAGCAGGGAAATGCCAAGCCACACATGTACACAAAGTAAAACAAAGACGTCAGCTCTCGCAGCAGCGCGGAAATGTTCCATATTTGTATTTTGTAATAAAAAAAAATAATATGTTGTATGAGGTTGAGGCTATAAAATGTACACGAGCGAACAGAGTTTTTTTTTTATCTTTAGCTACTGCTCTATCACACCCATTGTCAACTGTGTTACTGTGGCAGCAGGAGCTTAAATTACAGTTTGATGTGGCCACTGCCCAAAGGCAGCAATTTATACTCTGCTACTTCATCTTGATGTTGTTGACAATAATACGCTAACAATGCACTTATTTCTTATTTCTCCATGAAATGCTATTCATCTGTACCTCAGGAGGGAAAAAAACTGTTTACAATTAAGGATCTTAGGATCACAAACAGCACTGCATAATGAGGTACTCCAGGTAAGGCTTGTGTATCACCCAGAGGACAGCGTTGCCTGTATCAATTCTCTCACCTAGCTATAGCAACAGGAGATAATGGTGTCATCCAGATAGGTCCATGTACAGTTTTATCACCGATATATCACTGATTCAATCACTTACAAAAATGTTTTTTTTTTTTCAAATTTTGAAAGCATCATAATTTCTTTCCACTCTACAGCAGTACAATGAATCTCTGAGCTACATTCTAAGTAGCAACGCAAAACTAACCAGCAACCAAATAGTACAACACACTAATATACATAGTATGTAAATAACCTGCGGTGTAAAAACTGGTCTCACCTCCACTGGTGTCGTCAGCACCGTCCTCTGACTGGTTCTCTTCTGGTAAAGGTGGAGCGTCAGCTGGTAGAGCCTCCTCTCTGACCAACCTCACCAGTCTCTGAAGCTCCTCAGGAGCCTGAGAAAGAGCGAGGAAAGTGTACAGGCTTAGACACAGGTTTAGATGATAGGAGATGTGGAAACTATTCTGTGTCGTTCAGCTCCTCACCAATTTCTGCAGGTCATCGTTTCCCCCCACATGTACACTGTTGAAGAATATCTGAGGAACTGTGCTGCGCCCTGTTAGCTCCTTGACTGTGGCCCTCAGCTCCGGATGCCTGCCCAGGTCCACCTCACATACTGGCACTTCTAAACGCCCAAGAGTGGCCTTAGCTTGTAAACAGTGTGGGCAGCCCTGGATGGAGTACACAGTCACTCGACCCAGAGCTCTGCCGACAGAGTCCTCCATCTGCAGCAATGATGAGAACACATACATACAAGAATATAAAGACAAACACTGAAATCTTGTCCTTGAGATTAAGATACAGCTTTTTACAGCTGTAAAGATTGGTTTGCTGCAATTCAAACTCTTTATTGACCCACTGTGACATCACAATAAGGAAGTCATAAACTCTTTTTGTTACACTTACAACACTGTATTTACTTCCCTCCACACTCACTTCTTTGTTGCGATATATTCCCGACAAGAATAAATGTTGTTTAAGCCACAAAGATAAGATGGTAAACGCTGTCAGACAATTATCTTCCTTTGCTGAAGTTTCTTTATAGTTAGTTAGGGAAACAATATGCCTGATAAAGTCGAAGTTGTAAGGTTGTAAAGTCCGAGCAAAGTAACGAAACAGGAATAATATTACATAAACTAACTGACACTTTGGAAAGAATGTTCAAGGTTTCGTGTTTAAGGTTAAACAGATAACACATGTCAGCAGTGTGGATTAGTTGAAATACTACCGCTCGCAATATTAAAGAGTCAAAAATAATACATATGTATAAATGAGTCATTGCTTAACTCAAGACCCGATATGCGATATGTCTAAATATAGAATAGATGTAAAAGTGCGGCGTTTTCTTACCTCTTTTAAATAACAAAACAGATTCTCTTCGTCCTGATAATTAGAGTATTGTGACTAAATAACTCCTCATACCTGCTGCTGCTAATACAGGCTGAAACTGATCGCGTGTAAATGACGATAAACAGCTACACTGACGGTACTGTTATCACCGCTGAGCAGGATTGTGTAGGTTATGATGTTACATTCTGCGTCATAGCGGATGCCTAATGGCGCCTTCAGTGACCCCCGTAAAATTGAATACAAAAATAACATTGTTAACATTTTAGCGCCTTATAGCCTAGTTGGACCTCGTTCTTTATTAAGACATTATGTTAATGTCCTTTACTAATTTAATTGTACTCTCAATTAGAGCAGAGTAAGATTAATCATTTTTAAAATTATCTTTAGGTCGCTATTGTATGTTTTCATACGTGTTTGACGTTTTTAGTCCACTCTCTTCATGTTTGCCATACACAAAAACGAGTTCGCCATTGTTTTGCTAATTTTATTCTATTTTAATTTCAATATGATTCAATTTTAATTTTTTTTATAGTTTGCGACGCACCAACGACTGTAACATGTCCTACATCTGAAAACGCAACACGGGTCCTCTGCTCGGAACAGTTTTCCCACTGTTCTTGTTCCTTGTACGTTGTGTTTAATGGTGGGACTTATATGGAGGAGCAAAACTTTTATGGCATAAAACATGTCAGGATTGTCGGAAACAGAACGCACCGGCTGTGCCACGATACTTACGCTTATGTCCGCGGCAGACGTACACTCACTCACCGACACCGTCACAAATAAGTTGATAGTTGTTGAAAACACAACAGGTAGGAATGTATTCATCAAACGTAAAAAGGCAGCGGAGCTAATATGTTTTGCTATATCCTATTTAGATGTTCTATTACCTTAAATCTGATGTTGAACATAATAAATATGTTAACTATATAATATGTTAAACAGGGGGAAGTAAATCATTCTCCAAAACGAGCGTTTTTTTTCTTTTTTGCTATATTCAAGTGTTGACATTGTTAAACGTCAATATGACAAAACTTGTTCTTCTGTTTTTACAGAGGCAGTGGAAACAATTCTCTCCTTCAGTAAAAATGCTGAGGAGTTCCTACGAAGGAAGAAGGTTCAGCGTGACCTTATTTTTAAGTACCTGGTCAATCAGGGGGTCGTGATGCCCCCGAACAGTGAGAAGCACCAGCTGGTGAAGAGGACTCTGGAACTTTGGTCGTCGGGAAAGGTCGGTTTCTTCTAGTGTTGTGGATGTGAGTGTGAATGGTAGTCTCTGGACCACCATTCACACTCTGACTGTGAATTAACTTTGAATGAATAGTCTTTTGAAAAAAGTATTACATTTGGAGAGTCTTTACTTTCAGATTGCTTGTTATTTTATTGGCTTGATATTCCTTATGCAAATATTTTTCTTATTTCCTTATTATGTGCAAACATAACCTATCAATTAGTTTATTTAAATTAATTATATTTAACAACAGTAATCTTTATAAACTTACTTGTACTCTACTAACTTACTTCTTACTAACCCATTGTCAATACATGACACACACCGAAGGAGGAAATACTCTTAATCCCCTTAAAATCTACTAACAAACAAAGCGTGTAACTGGACCACGATGGCAGCTTGTTTATCAACTTATTTTTTCTAAGGTTGTTAGTGACAAATCCTCTCAAGAAGAGAAGAAAGGGATACTACATAAACAACCCACAGACGTATCTGCAAACGTGGTTGAGGTGGGCTTTGACCCGCAGGTCCTTGGTCAGCAGTTTTGCCAGTGGTTCTTTCAACTCCTGAACAGTCAGAACCCATCACTGGGCCAGCAGCCTGAAGACTGGGGACCGCAGCACTTCTGGCCTGACGTAAAGCTGCACCTTCTCTCGAGGTAACATAAAAGTTGAATATGAATAACTCATTAACTTAATGTTATTAGAGATAGTGTTTGTAAATATACACCACAGTGTTGTGTAATATAATTTAACGTTGATCAGTTTTCATTTATACTTTACGTTAATTTAACTAGTCTTATTTTTTTTTAGTTTTCTAATGATCAATTCAAATATTTCAGTTAAGTTAAAGTATACTCTGCCATTAATGTGTTGTAAATATCAAACAATTTTATATAGGAGTATGACAATAATTGTGTGTGTAATTAAATATATAGAGTAAATAACAATTTCTAGGATGTATTGAGCAAAATACAAATACATTGTAGTCAGAAATATTAAGTTTTTATCAATACAATAAGCTCTATCTCAACCATGTCTGTCAAACCTATTGTTTATTATTATATGTTAAATGGTCACAGTTACAGTAACGGCTCTCACAAAGTTACAGTTAGCTGTTTAAAAAAGAACCCAGATGCTGACGGGGTCTGTTTCTCCTCAGAACTGGCAGCGAACAGACGCAGGATGAGTTCATCGGTGCTGATTTAGTTAGCCTTCGGCTACTAGCCTTAACCAAGGAGGAACGCCTCCTCCTCAGCCCAAACCTGGAGCCCCACGGTCTCAGGGCCCTCATGTCCCCTCATGGCCTGGTGCTGGTTGCTGTGGCCGGTACCATTCACAGAGGTTCGGTCTGTCTGGGCGTATTTGAGCAAATATGTGGCCTAATCCGTTCCCCCTTGGAAAAGAACAGCTGGAAGATAAAGGTTATTGACCTGAAGATTAGAGCGCAGGACGCTCTGCCCGGGACAGAGGTGGCAGCGCCTGCTTTGACTTACAGCTCCAGTGAACTACAGTTTCTCTGCAGCTGATGACACTAGAATCTCTTTTCCACATCAGTCAGGACTCGTTGCACAGGTAAGTGGGTGCTCCTAGATATATAACAACATGTTTACTGTTTTTGTAACATGGTCAAATGTAAAATGTTTTTTGTTCTACTTTGCAGAAGATAAGGTCTCTGCAGCTGGTTGTTGTTGTTGTTGTTAACATTATACTTTAATTATGTTGTACCTTGATGTAAAGTCTTACTGCTTTGTTTGCCTGTAAATTTTGTAAAACAGACTATTATGTATTATTCAGACATGCACTTATAAATAAGTACCAAATATATCTATGACATCATAATTTGTGCCTGTGTGTTTTATCGGGATGTCGGACTTTATCTACAGCTGCTGCTGACCAAAGTATGAGGAAAAATGTTCCACGTTTGTTTTGTCATTGAAAGTGAAAGGTGAAGATGTGATATAAGATACAATTACATGGTTTTTATTGAGTTCACACACAAGTCTTGTTCATGAAGTTTAACAAGTCAATAATTATTTCACCTCTTGCCTTTTGCTGTCATTATGTCCATGCTCAAATGGGTTGAGTCTCTAACATTTCATCATGTGTTTCTAAAAATGTTAATGTGTCTGATTTACAGTTTATTTTTGCCACATCCAGATAATTTAGGCATAATGGTAAAAGAGTAAAGAGTTCAACATGTGTTCTGTTTGAAGCTGCTGTAGAAATAATAATAATAATTGTCATGAATACTGTCTTGTCTTTGTCCAATCCAGGCCATTTTACAAACACATTACATTTACAAACAGTGGAATCAAGATGTGCTATGGGATGATTTTATTTTTGTAGAAAGGATATATTTTATTGGCCAGTTCCTGTGATGTAACTGAATCACTGTGGCAGTAATCGGTCGCTGTTGTTAATTAAAAAAATTCAAACCAATTTCAGAAGGTTTAAAATAAGAGTCGTGTTCTGATTGGTTTATTTATCATTTACACATGATGTTAGTTTGAGCTGAGTAACGACCAATCAGAGGCTGCGGCTCAGTCATTTCCCGTCAACTGAAATGTTAATTCTTAACAAAAAGTATTCTCACCATATTCTAACAATTCAATGTGAGAAATCCCAATAATTTAACCACAACAGAGTTCAAATCTCCAAATTGAACTCCTCATTAATACAGCGGCTCTGATTTTTCCATTGATTCCTCTCTGTCATCCCAGTCTGGGCATTTAGGCTCTGGTCGGGTACAGTCTGTGCCAGTACTACTCTGCGGCTTTAGCGGGAAATGTTACATGTGGGAAATTATTCTTGGCAGCCATTTTCAAAGGCCTCTGGAACAGTTAATATCTGTGACTGTATGGGTCGGCGCTGCACGGCCATATTTGTGGTGAGGTAAAACCACTGCAGCCATTGATCTCAGCCTGTTCACCTCTCAGAAAGAATAATAACAAGCTAGCTGCCTCCTGTCTTTATGGCACTTGGCTTCTCTGTGTTTTAATGGGCGGTTTCTGGCCTCAAGTGCAGCTCTGACGCATGGTTAAAAAAAAAGAAAAACCCACTGCAGCAGCGTCTGGTGATGGTTTTGCCTCAGATGAAACCCCGTCTCCTCCACCTTTAATCGTGCCGTTCTCTAATAGGGAAGTGTGTTTCCCATAAAGAAACACGCTAACGGCATTTGAGTCTGAATCCATGGAAACTGTTGCTTTAAGTATCAAAAGTTTCCACTTCTTCCTTGACATCAATGTCAATGCCAAATCTCTCCCAAGGCTGGGATTCGAACCAACAACTATTCGGACATGGGGTGCTCAAAGGTGGGACAAGCAAGCCACCGCTGACCCCCAGTTAAATACAGTGTATGATTAATGAAGCCAATGTCCGAATTCCCAGGACTGTTTGATTATCTCGCTAATGCTATCTAACGCTATCTCGCTAACATCAAACAAAGTTATTTTACTTACGTTAAACTAGTTATTTGTAATATTTAATTTAATTTCCGTTTGTTGAATATAGATTGAACTAATGATTAATTTAGAATTATTATTTTTTCAAAGCAATGCTATCCTTTTATATTATCTTCCCTTCTGAAGTTTAAGGCCTGAATGGGCGTCTCATGTGACGTCACTTGAGGGAAGTCGGTCCGACTGTACACCGGAAATGCTCCACAATAGAGGACGAACATCATGGAAGACACTACGACGTGAAACAGCATTTCAATCCCAATAATGACCTTCAGTTAAATTAATGAACCTGAAGATACATTTATGTTTCAATTGATCGATTTTAAAAACAATAGTGAGTTAATAAACTTCCCCAAATGGTCCGATTTAAACATAATTGGGCTACACAGTTAAATGCGTCCCAACGTGACTTGACCTCATGACAGCAAAAGGCCAGAAGAGGGCAGGCGTGCTACACCAGACAAAAGAACGTCAACGTTTGCAATATAAACGATGGGTAAAAAAAAAAAAAAATCCTTTCAACACGATTACGTGAAGAAACTCGTCAAATACTAAGAGCAGTATGAGTGAGCTGATGTTATTGAGCAATTTCTTTCCGGCCACAGCCACAAGCAAACTGTAAATTCCTTCAGGTTTGAATTGTCCTCCATTAAATTAATGGACTTCAAAAAGAGAGACACTTTAAACTGTTGCCTTTCAACAGCACAAGAGCACGTAATTCAGAAGTTATTGAAGTGTCAGTAATTTATCTGTACTGTGACGCTCTCAGAGACAGCTTTAACACAATACTCTCCAACCGTCTGCACTTTCGGCTCAATAAAGGAGAGGATTTATGCAAGGGAAGCGAATCAATCATTGGCCACTGATATTTTCCCCTGCTGACAAAACACGTTAGCAGAAGAATTCAATCAGAGATTGACTGAGTTGTTTTGGCACTTTGTTGGACTCCGTCCTTCAAACGGCACCGTTTCACAGACCAGTTTTGCGCTGAAATGCTCGGAAACACTGACATAACTTGCGGTGGAGAGAATGAGGTCAACCGTATTTGGCCCTGGTGTGAAAGCCACAGTATACATTTCTGTATTCTACCCTCATCGTTTACCGAGGAGTCAGCTGAACTGCAGCTTACAGTTAGGCCATTTATTAGCTTTTTTGAATTCTGATGTCCGTGCGTGCCTGTTCATTATTTTTTACTACCTGTGGAGACAGATGTCGTCGTGTGACATTCTGCAAAGTCACCGGTTTCCTAAAAGGCAAGGCGAGTTATGAAAACGATTCATTTACAGTGAATACGAACTGACGGAGGTTCATTTACATTTTCGAGACCTAACAAGATACAAAAAAGAATCAGCCGCACTGAGCCAGGTGTAGAATCAGCGTTGTTCTAGTGAGGAAAGGTCAAATTGTTTTAAGAGAAATTTAAACATAACAATCTGCTTCTTTTTCTTTCTTATAAATATAACATTGATTTCCTTGCAAATGTTCAGTCGGTTCTGGGACAAGAAAGAAAAAAAAAATGAAATGGATCTTGATCAAGGCTGCGGGGAGGGTGTGGATGAAATCCGTTTAAGGCAGATGTCAAAACAGACGCCGGAGAGATGTGTCTCGAAATGTTTAAGTCGATAAAGTACGACACCTTTTGAAATTGTAACGACTGTCTATCTCAGAACTTATCGACTCACCCTTGCATACGGTTGCTTTCATCGAATACACATATACATGAAGTCGTCTGCTGAGCTGACATCATTGTTCTTTTTTAAGTATATATATATATTGGTTTAGACCCACAAGGCAACAATCAGGGTTCATGGCAGCCCCTCTCTCTCTCTCTCTCTCTCTCTCTCTGTCTCTCTGGCCTGGTGGTGTATCCTTACACATGCATCATTATCTCACGTAAACAGTGGAAATGCGAGAATGCTTGGGAACCGAATGCCATTCAAGGCAACAAAGCGTGGTCTGAGTGAAAAGATCCTGGGCGGTGACACTCTCGTTTAGTGTCAATTAAAGAAAACAACAAGCAGAGCCCTTTTGTGCGAGCGGCTGGCTTCGTGGTGTTTATTTACACTGGAGCCAAAATATACGCTTGAAGAAATGCAAGGTTGTTTTGAACGGATGTTTTAATCAGACAAATATGGAAGGTAACAAAAAAAAAAAAAAAAAATCCCTCACATAGAAGCGCACTTGAGTTTAGCATGTACCGAATCCCATCCCCGGACTCTTCCTCTCTGTTTATCTCTTTATATTCCTCTGTCGGTGTTTCACACATAGAAGCTTCACTGTGCAGTTTTTTCACAGCGAGTCCCACTCGTTTGAAGTGCGGGGGCCCCTCGGTGAGGGCCTCCGCTCGGCTTGTAAACTGAACAGGGAAGATAGTGTTATCTGGATTATTCCAGGAGGTTGTCAGCCTGCATTGAGCCGCACTGACCAAGTGGCCATTTGGCAGAACGGTGCTCATGCCAGTTCCTTCCCTCCGTGGACATCTGCTGTGTGTGGAGTTTGCCTGTGGTTGCATCTTAATCCTTCATCTCTTTAGCTGCAGCCATGCAGACCAGCAGCCCTGCTCGCCTTACTTGTATTAATTGCCCTTGCTTGGCTCGCTGTTTGCTTCTGATTACACTCATTAATTTCAATTCCCCGGGAAGCCGCCACCGCCGGAGCTGCCTTTAGTCAGAAACGTACACACATACAGTACACACAAGTACGGGCAGGCATAAAACATACATGCACATTAGGTCGCGTATATTATATACGTGTGAATAAGTCATCATTCTTTGAACTGATTCCTCTGTCTGAGCATGTTCCGCAGCGTACTGTCATTGTTGTTCAGAATAAGAGGGAAGAGGCATCCAGGCGTCTATATTAGTCTGTCTGGGCACGGTTCCCTTCTCTACATCTGGCATCCGAAAATCAAAAATACATTCTTTATTATTGAATCCGCAGATGCGGACGCATCCATTGTGTTGTCAGTAGCTGTCCATGTGTATGCTATTAGCAGCTGTGGTCTGTGTCTGTCTCCACCCTGGCAGTTTTTATCTTTATAAGGCAGGGACAAGAAGAAAGATGCCCTGACCCGCTGGTCATAAGTCAGTGTCGTCCTCCCAGCAGGTGGACCACATCTGGTAAAATCCCCAAAACTGGGCCAGGAGGGTGGCCGTGGGTTCATGCAGCTCCACAGATTTTGCTCAGAGCCACTGAACAACAACAACAACAGTTCGTTGGGGCATGTTGTTATCGTACGTTCTCACATTTTTTTATAGCATTTCTACAAACAATAGATAACAATCAGAGGGAAAAAACTACAGTTATTGTCCTCTTATCAACATAGAAAAAATATAACCCACTTTCAACAATACCACAGATGGTATATGGAACAAATATTAAATGTGTAATGTTGTAATACAACAAAAAGCCGTAGTTATTGGACAAAAGACACTTTCAGATTTTTTTACTTTAAGAGAAAGTATTTATATTTCTTAGAAGACGGGTCTAGAGGCAGCAATTGTTGAACGTTTACATGTGACATTTTTTTGTCCTTGTGTTGTCAAACTCATGATTTTAATCCAAAAAGTTAGGACCGACTTGGTTGGTACGGCTGCTCCAACCTCCCACCCTCTACGTAGACGACCCGAGGAGCAGTAAAAGTCTTTCGTAATAAGCTACGTGGCCTCTTGGCTCTTGTCACCCTATCACCTCGCAACCTGGGTTTGTCTGAGAAAGCAGGGCTTCCAGACTGACTCATCCAGCAGCTGTACCTTCAAGGGCCTCATGGGGGCGTCACACTGAGGGTCA